TATAGTGTGCATCAAAGAGTCGCGATCGGTTTACTAGTGACCACAAGTGGAAAAATGTGGGAAGATACTCTTGCGGTAGCAGGTGCTTCATGTCCTCTGGCGCTGGATGAGTTGGGAGTAGCAGATTGAGCAACCCCACAACGACGAATGCATTCTCACTAAAAGATGTGCTGAAAAAGGGCAGAAGCTCTTCTAGCATGGCTGGTATATCCTTGGGGTCGAAGTATGACTGCGCAAAAGTGCACATCTTGGTCAGGGTGCGGATGTTCCGCTTCACGTTGGGCGGGTGCGAGCCTCCCGACTCTGAGGGCAGCACGAACATCTTCAACTCTCTATACAACGGCCGCCAATCGAGTATCAGGTCGATGCCAGGTCGGAGGTAGTGCTTACGCCTGTCAAGTTGTCAGTATCGACTCGTCATCCAAACTTCAACTTTAGCATCACCTACTTAGTCAAGACCATGAACATGCTCGCAAAGCGTTCGGCCACTAAATAGTCTAGGCCGGGGGCCAACGCCAGCTCATAGTAAAGGTTCACCAGCTTCACCCGCGTGCTGCGGGGAAGATCGAACTTGAGTGATAGCCAGCCCCGAATCTCGCGTGTCCAGTGTACTGCGCCCGGCGCAAAGTCGCCCGCTGAAACGGCAATATAGAGATGCTTCAAGCATGTGTTCAGACTCTCCTCACGATCGCTCTGATCTTCTGTCTGGTATGGAAGGTATTCAAAGTATGGAAATGTCCGTGGGCGGCGCCTGTCGTCAGCCCCGTTGACGGTGCCGTTGGCCTGTCGCCAATCGCCACCGGGAGAAGTGGCACGAGATGTATCAGGACCAGATCCGGTATCGAGGGCGCTCATGAGCTGTGATATGCGTTCGCTTACGGCCATGGTGCCGGTTGGTAGCAAGGGGCGTGAATGTGTCTATGTGTGGCCAGGGTATGGCTAGGGCGCGGTGGGGAAGGTGTTGAGATGTAGGATCATTAATGTCGAGCTAGCAATGCGCAATCAACAAGAGCCAAGGCTTGTTTGCTCGCTTTGAATGGAAAAAGTAAGCAAATGATTGAGCAAGTGAAGGGCAAGTGGTGATAGGCTGGGGCAGTGGAGTGTATATGTATAGTAGAGTGAGCACCACCAAGCGCATCACCAAGGCGGCGGCGGGGCTGAGGGTCGAATTGAGAGATGCACGCGACTTACAGAACGATTGCGTGGAATGGGATCCAGGTTCCGATGTTGCGGGGATATGCTGGTGAAGATGAGCTCAGCCGGGGTGCAATGATTGACAGAGTGAGGTGGTTCATGTGGGTAGCCGGCGCCTCGTCCCTATGACATGTACTAATGCTAAGGTGCTGGAAGCTTTGGCCAGGCGATGTAGCAGCAAGCCAGCCAGCCAGGCCAGGCCTAGACGAATGGGGCTTTGAGTGCACACCACAAAGACAAGACGGGCTGCACTGCTTCCTGGGCACAGCTGGTGAGAGGTAGTAGTAGTAATAGTTGATTGCATACGGGCCGACCGCGCTATACAAAGGTATATATCGTCGGAACTCCGCCAGGCATTCACGAGACGCGCAACGCTGAGGTTGCCACATAGTAAGCAACTTACCCCCCATCCCATTTCCAGTCTTTCCTAGCACTTGGCCCGTGGCTGTTCTGGTCGCCAGGGCCAGGGCCATGTCTGTCCTGTATCTCATCCATGTTCCCGTTTCATTGCGTTTTCGTCCGCATGCACAAACATGGCTGTGGCACGACACGCGACACGTCTGTCTTCTGTTCTCGACAAGCCTTCTCTTCCGGCCTTGTCTTGGCTTGGACCAGCAGCATGTTGATCGTCAACGAGTCTTGGCCTTCCATGGTCCTTCTACCAAGTAGACTGGTTAGTTGACTTGTCTCAGAAAACATGAGTTCGTACTACGACGTCGACGCCATCCTTACAGATGCCCAAAAGGTGCCCTGTACCTTTGAGCTTACCGTTCCTGGTCTCGGCTATCTTGAGGGCAACATGAGCGGCGACATGAAGCAAGGCTCAAAAGTCGAACTCCCCTTGTGGCTCGGCGAGATGCTTGCATTGAGGTAAACTGATCTTTGTGTCTTTCTAACAGCCATGTATTTACACTATCTATAGCCAGAGTCTAAACACTTCCTCTCTTGTCACTATCGATCCTCCCTCGGCCCTCTCTCCACGCGTCTTGAACGCACTCAAAGCTGACCCGCGTACCGTCGATCTGCGTGCCTTAGCTCCGCACTTTTATAATCTCGGAGCACGCATCCTCGAGCTATTCGAGGAAGAAGAAATGATCGAGGTACTGAGCGATGTGAGTATTGCGCCAAGCCTTCCGGCATCTAGTTAGAGTTAACCTCCACAGACCTTCAAGGCCAGGGCTGCTTTGATAGCTGATCAAGCCCATAACCCACGGGGTGCATTAGGTGAAGGCGCCGACTTTATGCGGGGCCTAGATGAGAATGAACGGCAGCGTGAGTATCCACCAATCAACTTCGGAATCCTACAGCTGATGCCGACAAAGTGTTCCGTGCGGCGCACGACAGCGCAAAAGGCGTGCGCACCTGGATGACAGATCTGAAGAAGAAATGAGCAGGACCACCAGGGACTAGTCAGCAGGGCAACCGAGGTCCATTTAGAATCAAGCTTGGTCAGACCAGTGCAAGACTGCATAGCATAGTGGCAATGACCAATGAAAGCGCAGAGACGAAAAAGCATGACTTCGGAAGGCTGATAGTGATACACAATTGCGAGGCAAGCAGTCATGGAAGCCTACCTTCTGATTATAATACAATACCTCAAATCAACCAGCCAGTGAATTCAAATTTTGCTTTCGTTGCTTCAATCTTACCGCATCGTTGCACCAAGGTTACTGTTTTGTAACAACACAGCCAGCTGATCTGGCGGATACCCTAGGAACACTGGCCCATTGAATATCATTTGGGGTATCAACCGTGGGCCTCCAGTCTCCCCGTTCTGCTCCGGGGGCTGTCTTTGTGGCAGGGGCTCTGCGGGTGGCGCCTGGGTATTCGTGACTCCGGGCGGCGGCGATGACGGCGGCGGGGCAGCTTGTGTTGCTTGATGCTGTTCATGTGCTTGATTTTGATTCATCATCGCTCGGTGATCGAACGGACACTTTCCTGTGCTTTGCGGGGTGTCTTCCACTGGCCGGCCAGTGTCTAGCGGAAACTGTGGTGATGCGGTTGGGACGGAGCCAACTGACGATGAGCTCTCGGCATTGGTGTATTTCGCTGGAATCGATATGCCCCAAGGTCGACTTGGAGACTCGCCTACTCGGACTTCCTTTAGCGGACGGTCAAAGTGTGCTGTTCTAGTCTCGTCCATGGCATGATCTTCTGGCAGTTCCTCAGGAGTCGGAGTGCCATCATGAAGACTTGCTGAGACAGCTGTGGCCCAGTTGTGAACTTTGGTGTCTGCTCTGGCGTCGGCAATGTGGTTAGGTTCGGTTTCCGGCTCTTCGTCTATAGCATCATCAGGATCCTCAGGCAGCCATGCCTGATGCTTTTGACCCAGACCCTGGATCATATTGACCAAGTTGCCATACTTGCGATCCAGCTGGTCAATGCTCTCCTGGTTACGCTGGAAACGTGTGATGCAAACTTCGTGGCTCCTAGGTAGCTCGTGCTTGTGTTTTTCAAAGTATTCTGCAACCTCTTCTGGGTTATGCTGGTCAAGGAAGCGGATGGGACAGACGGCAGCAGACCCAGATGCAGCTACCGAGGCAGTCAGTGAGGCAGGTTTATTGCTACATATTTCGGCGCGGATAGGATCGGCGAACGAGGGTCGTTTGGACCTACGACCGCGCAGGCTAAGACGTGAGGTCGAGCTTCGCGGCGTAGCAAGAGGACTGCCTCTACCACTTCCAGATGCGAAAGGGCAAGCCAGCTTACTGGGCGTTCCGGCAACTGTGAAATCTTTTTCAAGAGGGGAAGTGGCTCTATTACTCTGTGTCTCAAGTTGCGGGGTCGGTACATCAGCTGATGGACCGCTCCATATCTTTACACTTGTTGTATTTTCAGGGGCACGCAGTTGAACAGCAGCCTCCTCAGCCTTCTGGATGACCAGTGCCCGGCTCTTGCGCTCTACATCGTCGCTATTTGCTAATTGCTCCACCAAATTCACGTGCATATGTGGTTGTTCGTCCCCAACTCGCTCGAGCTCTTGCAAAAAAGTAAGATGATCTTGCGACAGCGTGTCCGGCGCGAACCGCTTGAGTAGGTCAAGATACTGTAGAATGTCAGACAGGATCTTGCAGAATAGTTTGTTTGAACGTGATATGAGGGAATCCGAAATCAGGTCATGCTGTGGTTGTTTTCTGTCAAAGCCGCGAGAGCAGCTGCAGGTCTAGAGCTAAAGTGTATCATCATGAAAGGAGGGGGGAGGGCTGCTAGCAGTCGTCACATACCTGTTGCTTGGCCCACGAGAGCTTGCTTTCCACCTGTTTTTGCTGATCAAAAAGAGCTTGGTATTCTCCACTCAGAGCCGCAAAGCCTTCAACCAGCTGCTCGGCAAGCACTGTGACGTTGAGCTGAGCCTCGTCAGCCATAATGCCGTTGGCAAAAGGGCGAAATGTGCGAAGGTGGTGCGTATAGAGACAGCAAGAGAGCCCGGCTTTGATGACGCGGCAACGAGGCTCGCGGCCAGGAAAAGTGAGAAGGACGGAAGCTCGGCAAGGATTGCAGGGTCGGAAGCAGCGGCGCAGGCCGCGCCACGCTTAGTCATCGCTACCAGCCACTCACCTCGCGGAGAAGCCCATGGTCAGATGCGTTGGGAGGCGCGTCAGAGCGCACTGCGCCTTGGACCTGTTACGTAGCATCTCTTCTTGAACTGCAACTTTTATACGCCATGATACCCTAATAGCACAAGAAACGCCATTGTTTAGCGAAGCATCTGAGAACATCTGTTAGCATCCTCGTCGCCCTGATTCGGCACTGCAATTCCAAAAACCCCTAAAGAGCAGACGCTAAGCACCTCGACAATATTCACAATGGGGTCGATCCACGATTCCCGCATACACAAGTGGTTCGCAACCTCGCCTCCGGTCGCGTGGACAATCAGACAACTACGGGAGATTCTCATTGGGTCTCTTAAGCAGGGTCCAATCCCACAACATGTGGCGTTTGTCATGGACGGGAACAGGCGGTTTGCACGCAATCACCACATTGAGACTGTAGAAGGGCATAATCTGGGGTTTGAATCACTGGCTCGGGTATGAGGAACCATGGAAAAGGGGCATTTCCCTTGTTGGGTACGATACTGACAACTGACCAGATCCTCGAAGTGTGCTACAAGACTGGTGTGAAAGTGGTGACAATCTACGCGTTCAGTATTGAGAACTTCAAGCGTTCGAAGCATGAGGTGGATGCGCTCATGTCCATGGCCAAGGTGAAGCTACAACAGCTAGCCGAGCATGGTGCTTTACTAGACCGCTACGGTGCATCCATTCGAGTCCTGGGCGAACGCGAGCTTGTTAACCCAGATGTGCTCATGGCTGTGGACAAGGCCGTGGCCATGACCGCTCACAATAAGAAGTACACAACAATACCCAGTGCGAAGGCGACTGCTGACCCATTGGATAGAGCTGTCCTGAATGTCTGCTTCCCTTACACGTCGCGCCATGAAATCACGACCGCTGTCATGAAGACTGTCGAGACGTATAGCACCCCTATGCATAACCTGTCTACTTCGCCGAAACGCGCCTTTTCTGAATCGCATATTACGCAACATATTAGGAAGCAAATGTTGGAGGAGGACGCAGAAAGCGTATTGGAACAATCGGAGTCACGTCCAGCGTCGCCTTCGAAAGAAGCTGCCTCAGCGGAAGACGGGCGGTCTTCGTCGACGGCAACAGTCATTAATCCACCAGACAAGGATGAGTCGCAGACGGAACCTACATTCCTGGATCCTGAGTCGATTAGTGCCCAGACACTGAACGACAACATGATGACAGCCGACGCTCCACCGCTTGATTTGCTTATCCGCACTTCTGGTGTGCAGCGACTGAGCGACTTCATGCTGTGGCAGGCTCACGAGAATACGTCCATTGTATTTCTCAAGTGTTTATGGCCCGAGTTTGATCTTTGGCAATTCCTGCCCGTACTAGTGGAGTGGCAGTGGCAGCAGAAGAAGCTGCAAGAGGAGCAGCAGCGTATTCGTGGGCGGTCAAAGTCGGAGTAATACATACACCGGAGCAACGGTTGATTGGAGGTCGTGGTGAAAGGTGGCAGATCTAGACTTGAGCGCGCATCAAAGATACCCAGAATCAAGTATTCCATCCATCCCCTAATGCACACTACAAAAAGCCATCGCTTAGACTACCGGTCGATCTCGCCGGACTGGGGCCCTCGAAGGCGTCGGCGGGAGCTATATAGTACTCCTAGTTTCGGCGGCAGGCCTGGCACGTGTATGTACACAGCTTTCAGCTGCTAATGTATGGCATACCAGTCTTTCATGGTCGGTGACCTAGCATACGACCTTTGGACTTGTCCTAGGCGCGCTAGCCAGTCATAGCGCAAGGAAGCCAAACGTCATCCTACCCTACTGCCGCCCATGACAGCCGAGGAGGAAGCTATCAGTGTGCAAGCTGAGCAATGCCTTATATTGTGCGCACGCCAGGGCTTGTAGTGAGCGCCTAGTTGTCGTCACGTCCAGCTCATGTTAACGTTGTAGTGCTTACCAGTCCAAGTGACGCTGTTCTGTATCTGTTTGCTGGACTCGGTGTCTGTGTGCTATATACTTGCTACTTACGTTACTTCTTATCAGCAACCATCTTGCTTCCGTCGCTCGCCGTTCCGTCTAATCGCACGCCATCGACTACAGCATCATGAGCGCACCAACCATTCTCACGATACCCATCGAACTACGAGAGCTCATTTACGAGTTTCTCTTTGGTAGCTACACCATTCGACACGGCTTCAAACACCCAGGCCTTCCCAGCAGCAAAACGGACGCCTCTAATCGCACATCACTACTTCTCACTTGTCGCCAGATCTACACCGAGGCCAGCCGCCATCTTCCGCTCAACTGCACCCTCCACTTCCGCGGTACTGAGAACTTGCTCGAAACACTCCTCTCGATCGATCAGAGTGTACTGACCCGCTTGCGCCACATTCGGGTTCGCGCGTATCCATTCCCCTTGTACACTGGAGAGACTACGCATTACTATCCTACCTACTATGCAGCAAATGCGCTTAATCTGCTGCCTGGTCTGTGTCTCGACACACTAGTCGTGGAAGACTGCTGGCATGGCTTTGGCATGTGCGATGGCTGGCGAGACGTTACAACTTACTTCGATATCGAAAGCCTCCTCAATAGCGATGCTTGGAAACAACTTATCTACATAACACCTTGTACCGACTTCATCGCCTCGGGCTACGATCACCGGCACAAACGGTCAGCCCAGCCCGAAAACTGGGATGCGCTTATCAAGGAACGTGATGGAGTCGAGTACGGCGCCGAGGTCAAGATGTACATTGTTCCGTACGACCAACAAGCAGCTACTGGCTGTGAAAAAACCGAGGATGGACGAGCCATGCAGCCCTGGGCAGCAAAACCAGGAGATAAAGTCAACGAGGACTGGCGGATCGCAGGACCAGAGCAAGATATGAAGGGCGAGGTCAGGATCCTGGCGAAGCGAGGTAAACGGGCAAGAGTAGTACAGTTGGGTCTCAGCGAAAAAAGAACTTGGAAAGAAATCAAGGGGACAGCTGTTGGTGGCTTTGCCCCCGAAGGTGAGCAGGTTTCCAGTCCCCACGAGTACACTCAGTCTTGACTAACTTCTTTCAAGGATGGACGCCATACCACAACGACATGTCAGATGCAGTCGGATGGATATATGGTGGCTATGGGCGAAGGATGCAACTAGCAGACGCCGCTCTTCACAGTTGACTACATCGCTTCACTACGCAACCCGTCCACGCGCCATGGATGACGGATGCACGAACTCAGGATTGAGTACTGTGCAGCGGTCGGCTGCATGGCGCAAGAGTTGGCACCTTTGCATTCATCTATATAGGTTGCCAAGGTGCGTAGTGGCGCTGTCTTTGCAAGGCGGCTGAAGTATTTTGTGCGCTGTGCTGCATGGCATAGTGAGACTATGGATTCGAATCGTGGCACACGGAAGACACATGTCTCAGAAAGGTGGCACTGCACTATTGATTGTGCAGTATTTTGTATTGTGAACTTGAGATGGTTAGTTTGGGAGGTATGTGGGAATACTGCGCCGGGCATACCCACGATGGATGGAGTGCCAAACTATTCGTCATCGGCCGCTGCGCGACCGTGCCGCAAAGTTATGGGGCTCACTTCTGCACGTTCACCTTGCCGCGCAGCTGCTTTGTATTGAACTAGGAGATTCCTATTCCGACATGGTAGCCTGTCGCTTAACAGTTGTAAAGGGAGTCGCAATGAAAGTACAAGTAGGGGCGGCCGACCACGACTTTGTTTGTTCTCCGTTACACGGCGGTGCGCATTGCTTGCTTGTACGATTCACCTGTCACCTGCTTTGTGCAGTATTTCAGGCCTCTTATTATTCCCATGCGATAGACGTCGGCTAATGAACTGGCACCCGACAATATGGTAAGCCCACTTATGTATTCACATAGCACGAGCAAGTGCGTGCGTAGACTGAATATCACTAGCGCCAACTATCGCACATCATCCTAGCACTTGTTGCTGTTGGCTTTGGGTTCTCACTTGCCCAGCAGTATCCGCTTCCTGTTACCTATGACACCACTCTCAAATCACCCGTGGACCCTAGCATCACCATCTCCTTCAAGCAGCCTGAATCCGACATATGCTCTACAACCGCTGAAACGCAGAAGCAGTACTCGGGCTATGTCAATCTTCCTCCGTTTACGCTTGCGCCCTTTCAGCAAAACTATTCAATCAACACCTTTTTCTGGTTCTTTGAGGCTCGAGACAACCCAGAGACTGCACCATTAACAATATGGCTGAACGGTGGACCTGGACAGTCTAGCATGGTTGGTCTCTTTACCGAAGTAGGACCATGCAGGGTTGTGCAAGGCTCTAATGACAGCTACACTACACAGCCCAGGCCCTGGGGCTGGGATCGCAGTTCCAACATACTCTTCATCGATCAGCCCACTCAGACCGGCTTCTCCTATGATGAGCGGGTGAATGCGTCTATAGATTTCAGCAACGATGATCCAACCGGATTGGATGCCCGTAAGCAGTCATCACCCCTTCCGACTGATGTACCTGTCTGGCGCTTCAAAAACGGGACGTTCGCTTCTGGTCTTACTACAAACACTGAAGACTTGACTGCCATTGCCGCCAGATCGACCTGGCACTTCCTGCAAGGTTTTCTCTCCGCTTTCCCTCAGTACAATCCAGGGGTGCATCCTGATAGTGATGTTGTCGAGTCTGCTGCTATCAATCTGTTTGCCGAGAGCTACGGGGGCATTTATGGCCCCATCTTTGCAGATTTCTTCGAAGCTCAAAATGAGGGAAGAAAAGATGGAAAGGTACCAAGCGATGCATTGGAGATCCGTGTGGGTTCAGTAGGCATCGTTGATGGTGTCTTGGATGTTATAACAACCACAACATCAGGCCTGGAATTTGCATACAACAACACATATGGTATCGAAGGCATCAACATTACAACCTACGAGAATGCAATAGCGGCAGTCAACGGAGAGATGGGCTGCAGGGATCTGATAACGCAATGTCGTGTGCTCGCAGCAAAGAACGATCCCGATAATCTCGGTACCGATGAGGACACTAACAAGCTTTGCGCAGGTGCTCTACTAACCTGCCAATTGGCTGTTTTGCCTGTCATGGCTATCGGCAGAAGCGTTTATGACGTGCGAGTGGAGCCTCAGGTTGGGCCGGCTGCCTCCTATGTAGAATATCTGAATGATGCCAGGGTTCTACAGTCCATCGGCGCTTCAGTCAACTTCACCTCACATAGCATTACTGTTGAGAATTCTTTCAATTTCAGTAAGTCACATTCATTTGACAAGCTTCTCTAGAAAGAGAGCTTTGCTGATTCTTGCTCTAGACGGAGATGCTGCTCGTGGGACGCAGCTGACCTTTCTGGCGCGCTTGCTCGCTCGTGGCATCAAGGTGGCCTTAATATACGGTGACGCAGATGTCCTAGGCAACTGGTATGGAGGCCAGAATGGATCCCTCGAGCTATCTAGTCTTGTTCCAGGGTACGATACCGCATTCCCAGCTGCTGGCTATGCCGATATCGTTGTCAATCCATCTTACGTTGGCGGAGCCGTGCGTCAATATGGCAACCTTTCATTCTCTCGAATCTACGATGCTGGTCACCAGGTACCCTATTACCAACCAGAAACCGCATTTGCTGTCTTCAGTCGGACCATTCAAGGTCGTGACATCAGCACGGGTCGCGAGGCTGACTTGTCAACGTTTGCAACCGAAGGACCCAACACTTCTGATCATAAGAATGTGGTGCCGCCTCAGCCAGACTCAGCCTGCTGGATCAGAGACGCCGTTTCTACTTGTAAAGAAGAAGAATGGGCTGCTATTCGCCAGGGCAAGGGTACAGTCAAGAATGGCATATGGATGCCTTCAGAAAGCATTGAAGCATTTGAGAAAACGTCGGGAAGTTCGTCACTACAACAAAGTTTCCTACTCCGCCTCTTCCGTCGCGACGCACCTCCAGAACAAGGGGAAAGGGGCAAGAGAAATACAAAGATGGTCATCATTGGGGGAGTTTCTGCGGCGGTTGCGTTTCTGTTGTGAGTGCTATTGCACCAACACCCTCCCAAACACTACATAGATTAAAGCTTCATACATACCCAAAACATCCTCTCCTATACCGAAACCACTTTCACAAACAACAACCCACCAGCGATCTCAAAACTCCCCCAAACTAAAGCCCCTGATCACTAAAAATCCTACCATAGCGGCATTCTCACCACCCTATGCTGCCTACGCCTCCCCACCAACTCCACCAGCACCCCCCATTCCCCCAGTGCCATGGAAATGGGCCCCATAACCTCCACCCACATCCTCCACCAAGACGCCAATTCCCTCCTCCTCAACCCGCTCCACCGCCACATCCCACTCCTCGAATCCATCCCCGAAGCGAGTCCACGCCCCAGCTCAGATACGCGCCGCTCCCTGGAAAAGAAACCAGCGCCGCACCCCTTGCGTAAGTATGCGGCGCAGAATGCTATCCCATGCAACGGTAGCGGACTGCAAACGGTGGTGGCGAACCGGGATTCGACGCCAGTGGGCGGTGGAGAGTCGCTTGGCGAGGGGGATGTGTGAGGGATGAGCCAGGGGATGGTCCTTTGTCTGCTCTTCCTTCCTCCCTCTTTCTCCGCGGGAAAGGGGGAAAACCGGCGCTGTGAATGGGGTAGTTAGCTGTAGCATCGTAAACAATGCCTTTTTATGGTCATGAGAGAAGTTGTCCTTGCACGTTCTCTTTCTGATCCGCGTTGATTTACGTATGTGATTTAGAGACAATATGACTTATTGTGGTCTTGGGATGGGACAAAATCGGGGTTCCAAGGCTTGGGGGCGCGGGATTGAGATGGCGGGGGCGGTGAGATGTGTGAATGGAAATGGGTTTTCTTTGTTTGTTTTCTGGGGTGATATGTAAGGGGTTGGTGGGTATGCGGAAGGTAGGTACTTGGAATTTTTTTCTACAAGGGATGAGTGAGTTGCTTGTGCAGATTAGAGTGCTGTGCAAGGCTTGCCAGTTGGCTGGATGACGGATTAAGATTAGATATTTCCATTAATCATATTTCATTTAATTTTTCATTTTCGTTTTTCCTTCCTGTCCCTCGGATGATTGCATGATTCCCATGTAGCGTGGACTTAGAGCCGGTGGATTGCGGTCATGCCCTACGTCTTCAGTGGGCTTTGTTGCTTGACTAAGACTAACCGAACAATATCCCTCTTCTTTGAAATCTCTCATCGCTGACATGGATTGAGTAGAAGATGTGCAAATATGTTCCTTTCTTGGATGTTCATAGCAAACGTTCTTCATTTGCTCTGAGCATATGCAAACTATCGTACATGGATATAACAATCTCTTCACACTACCCCGCCCCCCTCCCATGACGACATCCCTGGGTATAAAAAGAAAAGAAAACTGTAGCAAGGATAATATGTCACTTCTTGCACTCCTTGCTATATAGTATAAACACCATCGCTATGCTCCCTCCCTCCATGCCAGAGTAACTAATCGACTTTTACACCTAATTAAAATTGGTGCACAGGAAACTGGAGCCGGGCGAAAATAAAAGAACTAAAAATCAAAAGGGGGTGCGCAGTCGCAGAACAGACCCGATTAGCCAGACACGATAGGCAAAAGGACAAATATCAATCCAGAACTTACTCTGGTTGTAACTTAGCTGGAAAAAATAGAAAACGGCTCAAATCTCGATGTCAACGCCAATGTCCATGCTCGCAATAATGTCATCATCCATCTTGGGCTTCCTGAATGTCGGCAGGCCTTTCCGCTCAGTCTTCTTCTTGGATTGTTGAGGGTTGGGCGTGCTTGCCCTGGAACTGCCCTCGCCGTCGAAGAGGGCGTCGACGTCTAGCGCCTTCTTCTTTTGCGCTTCCTCTTCTTGTGCCTTTCTCGCCTCTTCTTCTGCTTTCCGGCGGGCAGCCTCCTTCTTCTGGTCGATCTTCTTCTGTCGCTGTTGCTCGAGCTGGGCCTTTCGTACGCGCTCAGCTTCTAGTATGCGGTTTTTGCGGTTGAGTTCAGCAACACGCGCAGCGGCTGCCTCGGACTGCGTAGCAATCTTGGGCTGCGCCTCAGAGGATGAGCGTTGGAGAAGATGGGCGTATTTCTTGGACTTTGCAATACGGGCGCTGATATCGGCGTCGGTCCAGTAGTGGTTCTGAAGCGCCTTGAGGTCGTCGTACTTCCGCTTAAGGAAAGACTGAGATGGCACCTTGGAGTTTGTCTCGGCAAGGGATTGGCGGTAGATGTCAAGATCACTCTCGGTAAAGCGCTGGTTCGACATGAATTGGAACTGGTAGTCCTTCTTCACTGACCCGTGTTGCGCAATGACGTATTGATCTGTTGCGATGCATTTGCCATCCTTGCCTTCGAAAACGTAGGGCTTGCCCACAGAGAAGCCTAAGAAATGAGTTAGTTGTGTTCATGATGCAGTTGTCGATATGCCTACCCTTGATTTGCGCCATCTTGTAGAGAGTGCGACGTTGGGCATCCTGACCAACACCCACACGCCCAAAAGCGCCTGTCAGAGCCTCTTCGAAACCTGGGTGGAAGCAAACCTCTGAGAAGAAGCCTCTACCGACGCGCACCGATTCAAAGTCACGTAGGGTTGCAGGCACATCCTCGCGAACCTTGTCTGGTACTCTGTCGTCCCACTCAACGTCACTCTCACCGTCGGCGTCAAGATCTGAGCCACCGTCCCGATCGCCAGAGCTAGATCGCCTACGGTCACCACGTCGGTCATCGTGTCGCTGTCTTTGCTGGCCTCGCTGCTCTCGTTCGCGTTTGTATGCCTCGAGTTTCTCGTTCTTACGGGGTTGCACTTTAGGGCGACTGCTTTTGCGCATGGCATCGTCAGGGTCTTCTGAGTCGGCCTTGCGCTTTCGGTCGTTTTGAACGTTGGCGGCACGCCTTGCGAGCTCTGCCTTGAAATTGGCATTGCTCATCTCCTCAGCGCGTTGACCCAGAATCTCCTCTCGCTCCAACTGCGACATGCCCATGATCTGCCGCTTGTCTGCCTCGTCGATGTATTTACCCTCGAGGGGGTAAGGCACGTCGGCCGCGTGCGCGGGCTCGTCATCATCGCGATCCGAGTCGGATTCGTCCATGGCATCTGATCCCAGCGAGTTTGGCGATGAGGCTGCAGGCGACGAACTGGGTCGAGTCAGCGCCATGGTGCGGTAAGGGGTTGAGACGGTCGGTGGAGGGTTGAACGGAGGAGTATGGGAGGAGGAAGCGATGGGAAGGAGTGGCGAGAGATGGATGTGTGGTGATGGGTGAGAGGAGTACTCACGCCTCGCCTTCTTCTACGTCTGCGTCTTCGTCACCACCCGCGAGGGCGAAGAGCTCATCGTCGATATCATCGGCCGACATTGTGGAGGTGAATGGGAAAAAGTTTTGCGGTAGATTTTGGCCTGTTGCAGCGACAGTAGCGGTGACAACGGGTGGTCGCTGAGGATGTCAGGAGGAGATTCGGGCGCGCTTAAGGGGGAAAAGAGGAGGAAAGAGGAACGTGGGAAGTCCAAAGGTTGGGGAAACGCTCTCGGCGCTCGGACCATGCCGCGTCCGCCGAGTGGATCATTGGTTGCGTGCAGTGAGCGCATCATAGGCCATCTTCCTATTCTTCTGTTCACTGCATTCACCTTTTCAAGGACAATTGCGTATTTCTTTTCATTCCTATTATTGTACAATAGCCTAGGATATACGTCATGTGTTCTGCAATTCACTCATCGCGAACAATATCGCGCAGCATCTGCCGCAGCCTGCAATACCCAGTCCTCGATTTTCTTGCCCCCAGTACAGCCACTTGCGCACCACGCCAGACACTGCGATTCTCCAGCACAGCATCCACGTCACCGTCGCCACAAACAACAAAAGATGGCAAGCCAATACGGCCGCTTACACCCGAGCAGCGGGAATTTCTCTCTTCGGCATTGCGAGTGAACCAGACGGGTGAGCTCGCCGCCATCCTCATCTATGCTGCCCAGTCACCCGTCATCACACGGTCACATCCCCACTTGCGCCCGCTCATGAAGCACATGTACAACCAGGAAGCAGGCCACTACAAATACTTCAACGACATCATCTCCAAGCATCGCATACGCCCGACGGCCATGACTCCCATCTGGACGGCGGCAGCGAGTATTCTAGGCTGGTCGACGGCTGTCATGGGGCGTGAGGCAGCCATGGCGTGCACAGAGGCTGTCGAGACGGAGATCGGGACGCACTATAATGAGCAGGTGCGGGTGCTACTGGACTGGGCTAAGAAGTGCGAGGAGAGGGGAGAGAGCTTAGGTCCTGAGTTGGATAAGTTGGTAGTTGAGTTGAGACGGATAAGAGATGAGGAACTGGAGCATTTGGATCACGCCGTGGAAAACGATGCCAAGAACGCAAAGCCATACGAACTTCTGACCGAGGTTATAAGGGGTGGGTGTAGAGGCGCCATCTGGGTGAGTGAGCGAGTGTAATACGACCCTTGTAGACATGAAAAGATGACGGCGCGGGATTTGGACTAGGTTTCTCTGTTTCGTGATTGTATATTACACACTTGTATCACCCCACTTATCATACTCTGGAACATAGCTCATTGCACAGGTTCACTTCGCAATGGGTTCTATTTTTTTCTTTTGGAATCAAGTATGTACAGCGATTGTAGACCAGAATTACTACGATCTGGAACACCAGAATACTGCACCTCATTCCAGACAATGCTTACTTGGAAAGCAACTTAACAATGGAAGCTGCTGTAGCATTGTTGATTGAAAAGGTAGGATGCAGCTCATTGAGCCATAGGTACTCGTTGACAGGGTACTGGCAGCTAGGATCCTTGGTATACCAGGTCGGTGTACCACTATGTACTCGTTAGCTAACACGGCCCGCAGCATATAGGCTGTGGTTTAAAAGACTTACTTTTTGTACGCATCGCAGTAGCCTGTAACATTTTTCAAGTCTGCAGTCTGCTTGTAGCTCGCAGGGTTCTTGATGACGCTGTTGTATAGCGACCACGTATCGTATACAAACGTAGTGGTGCCTTTATTCTTTGCCTTGAACCCAGATACCATGTTGGTAATTCTCTTATTCCAATCCTCAATCGCCTTGCCTTCGTGCTCTACTGCATATCCGCCATCATTTTGCTGCGTGGTCAAGGGCGCGAGATTGACAGGTGGGACGTTGAGGAAGAGGAAATTGCGGCCTCCGGTGGCGTAGATGTCGGTTAGTTGCTTCTCATACACCGAGAAGATAGTGTCCCAGAGAGCAGTAGAATTGTCCCGCCACCAGCTGGTTCCTACGTCGTTGATGCCGATGAAGAAGGCAAAAAGTGATGAGGCGGATGTCCAGGGAGCAAAGTTGGGATGGGAGCCATAAGTCGGCAGGAATTGGGACTGGACCTGCTCCTTCATGCTGACTACTGTCGGTGTATACGGGGCGACGAGGGCCGAGTCAACGGTGGCACCACCGTAAGCCATGTTGTACGTCAGGAGAGTGCTCGTATTGTACGTGGTGGTAAGAAATCCGACCCAGTTGGGGCCGTTTGAAGATGTCCAGCCGGGATATGGCGGGTTGCCGAGAGGGTTAGATGGGCTTGGTTGCGTGCCGTTTACATTGAAGCCAGTCTGGGTGTAAGAATCCCCAAAGACGAAAAGGTGTTTGACGTTCTTCCATCCGGACCAGGAGGACGCTTGTGCTTCGGATGCAGCGAGACCAGTGGTTGCCAGAGACAAGACAAGAGCGATTGATTTAACCATGTTGGCAAACAGTCGTAAGCAATATGGCAAGATGAGAGAACTGGTTACATCCTGGAATTAGCAGCGGACGGCATGTTAATAAATGCGATGGGGACAGTTATTCGGGGAGACGGAACGGGATGATGATCTTGACTAGCACTAACGAGGTAGATTGAATGGAAATTGAAAGATATATGGCATTACCCCACATTTGAAGTATAAAGTGCATGGTAGCACTACTTTGACATAGTTACGGAAGAATTATGGGAGCAAGGGTACGCGGTGCACTAATAAGAGGCTCCGGGCGAGGGCGTGGAAGGCCATGCTAGACCGGAGTTGGAAGAATCCAAATGGTCCGCGTCGAAAAGGGAATAGCGTGTGAAACGCGACGACGCGACAGTTTTTATAGTGATTCGAGAGGACGTGTAGTCTGCAAGTTTGGCGTACGACATAAATGAAGTTCCCGAAGTCGGAGAAAGACGGAAGTCAGATATCACGTGACCTGGCGCTGGGGCAGAGTCGGGGTGAGACATGTTTGAGATGACAATGAAAGAGGCGTCGAGAAGGGGGGACCAGCGTACAAAGACAGAGTTTGTTCGTCAGCTTATCAAGCCACGAGGACAGACGAGCCGGATGCATCGGGAGGTGGACAGCGGATTGCTTGGGCCGGCCGAGCTGGCAGCGCGTCATGCGAAGGCGAAAGCATGGAATAATTGTGGTGGCTGAACAGTGGCGCAATAAGGCTGATGCGGCGGCTGGACCAATGCAGACCCCGGTTCACTGGCCGTGCTCCCAGCCGCCGCATACTACTACCAGGCACATGTAAAGTATGTCAAGTATGTCTACTATCCGCGTAGTTTGGGAACATTGCCGCCTGTCACGCACTAAACAATTGCTGCTATACACCTGGTCTACTAGGTATACCTGGTCGGTGTAGAAATCTGTACCTCAGCATCGCGACGAGACGCGCACAAGCAGCCACAAAGCCGCTGCATCCACACCAGACTCGGCCTTGCTGCAGTCCCGCATTCCGACTCAACCTTCACCACTCTGCCTCTTGTCGCCCATCCTCTAGGTCCGACAACACCCCCGACCCTGCCTGTTCGTTCTGTCGTCCGAAATGCCCGCCCACTGAGACGCCTCATCTCCAGCCCATTCTGATCCTGCGTTCGCTTGACCGCCGAGCATTGACAGCAAACGTATATCTGACGCCAGCCCCCCGCGTACAGCTTGCTTTTGCAAACCCTGGGACAACACAACCCTAATACACCGGCTACCAGAGTACTAGAGTAGCATCCGCCCACCATGGCCGGAATGGAGAACATCGAGGTCCATAGCAAGGTACGTCCTCCCACCTCCCGTCTCCCATCCCTGCTGCCCGTGCTGATTACTGCCAGTCTTACCTTGTAAGATGGGTCAATGTTTCCTCAGGCCACACCATATCATGGAGTGTCCAACCACACAAAAAGTCTCTCAATTTCGGTATCTTCAAGCACCCCGGAAACGCGACGGGCTCAGCTCCCCACTTGCCTTCCACGGCCACCTTAGAGGCCGGCCCAGGCACCCCCTCCCTCGAGCCACCCGTAACACGCGGGCGCGGAGCCTCGACGTCGAGAAACGACCGAACCGTCGTCCTGGAAAAGCTGTCAGCAATCGGTCTGAAACAGGTACACTGGCATGGCAAATGTGAGGCCGACACCGTCTCCATGGGCACTTATGACATACCCCCCGGCGAGGGCGGCATGTATGGTCTTGTCTTTGACAATACCTTCTCCAAGACAGTGTCTAAGACGGCCACATTTGTTCTCATGACATATCCAACCAATGCCGCCCCAAAATCGGGTCACCACATGCACTATGCCCAGGCAATGGCTGGAGCAAGCACAACTAGTCTCGCCAAGTCATCACCGTCTATTAACCCCGCCGAATCATCTGAGTCCTTGGCCCAAACATCTGGAGACCGACCAAAGTCGCAATACGGCCAAAAACAAGGCAGTCTATCTGGCTCGTCTTTTCTCACCGGTGTACTGCAGAAGAAGCGAAGAAAGAGGAACCAGGGCTATGCGAGACGCTTCTTTTCTTTGGATCTCACCTCGTCAACACTGTCGTATTACCGCAATGACCATTCCTCCGCTCTACGTGGCGCCATCCCGCTGTCGCTAGCCGCCATCGGTGCAAACGAGGAAACAAGGGAAATTTCTGTAGATTCAGGAGCGGAGATCTGGCAGCTACGCGCCCTCAATGACAAAGATTTCCAAATGTGGAAAAATGCGCTCGACCGTGCATCAAGAACAGCAGCGGACAGGGGAGCTGTGGCTTCGCCTACCCTACAAATACAAGAGGGAACATTTCAGAGCTTTCCACAAGCCTCAAGTGCGATCGAAGAGAACGAATGGGCTAGGGTTGAGGCACTGATGGGGCGAGTTTCTGGTACAAGAGACGCGGTGCGAAGATTGGTCCAGCAAACCGAACCCAAGTCCGCTACAAGCACTATGTTGGCTGTTACAAAGACAAACGAAACTGCATCACCTGCACCGTCCGAAACAGAACCCAGCGACTACTTCCCGGAACAAAAGGCGCCCCAAAAGACTTCCTTTTGGAAGCGCAAGTCAAGTAGTTCAGCTGCCCAGAGCCCTTCAGGGCTGTCCAACAAAAGTGGCTCGTCCGGAGCAGTCCCTCCCCTGCCTCCCCTGCCCGCAAACATCTCAGCAAATGGCACGCTTGCAGTGCCATCCCAGAATGGTCATGGTACAAGTTCCCCAATGGAAGAACTTGTGCATGGCAACTGCATGGCTCTGCTGAAAGACTTGGATTCTGTTGTCGCAGACTTTGCCAATCTCATCAGCGAAAGCAAACAACGTCGAGCGTTAGCACAACCGCCACCACTCTCTGCTGTACCATCACGCAACAGCTTCGAATCAACTGTAGAATCTGTTGACGAGTTCTTCGATGCAACCGATGGCGATGGCAGCAAGTCGCAGCTGCTTACTATTCGGCGTGATAGCGGCGACAATGAGCACGAGCGTGGACAAGCTCCAAACGAGGACTCGGACGGAGAATCAGAGTCGTCGTCTGAAAACGGAAGTGAGGAAACAAGAGATCGCCCACGAATGTCGCTTGAAATGACACCAGCACTTTTCCCCACAAAGCCCGAGTCCCTGAAGCCTCTACCTCTCGACCCAGTTGACCGTCGAGCCACTGTTCCTGCGCCTAAAGTCCAACCTCCAAGTCTGATTGCATTCTTCAGGAAGAATGTTGGCAAAGATTTGTCAACCATTGCCATGCCGGTGTCTGCTAATGAGCCTACATCGGCATTGCAACGACTAGCCGAACAACTCGAATACAGTGAGCTACTAGATGCCGCTGTAGCAGCTCCCTCAGAAACGGGCGAGCGTCTCGTCTACATCGCCGCTTTTGCAATCTCGGCCTTTAGCAACGCCCGTGTCAAGGATCGCGCAATCCGCAAACCATTCAACCCTATGCTTGGTGAAACGTATGAACTCGTTCGCGAAGACAAGGGCTTCCGTTTCTTTGCAGAAAAAGTCGTTCACCGTCCCGTACGCATGGCCTGCCAAGCTGAAGCGCAAGAATGGACGTTTATCCAATCCCCAACCCCAATGCAGAAGTTCTGGGGTAAAAGCGCTGAAATCAACACCGATGGTCGTGTTCGCATCTTCTTACATGCTTCCGGTGAGCACTACTCGTGGACTTTGGCAACATCCTATCTGCGTAACGTCATTGCA